GCCCATCCACTGGAATTAGGGAAGTCCTTGACAACTAGTTGTGTGCACAACGAATTTGCCTGGAAACAGGCTTCACTTAGGGAATCACCTAAGAAGCCTTCAAGAGCCAGGGCATAGTGGCACACACGCCTGTAATCCCAGCAGTCCCAGAGGCTGAGGCAGGAGGATCATGAGTTCAAAGCCAGTCTCAGCAAAAAAGCAAGGTGCTAAGCAACTCAGTGAGACCCTGTCTCTAAATAAATTACAAAAAGGGGCTGGGGATGTAGCTAAGTGGTCGACTGCCCCTGAGTTCAATCCCTGGTACAAAAAGAAGGAGAAGAAAGAGGAGGAGGAGGAGGAGGAGGAGGTGGCGGTGGCTCCAAGAAGTCAAGCCAAGAGTAGAGATTCATAGATCAGGGATGATAGGAAGCATAGGGCTGGAATGAGCAGTGGAGAAGGCCTTAGATCTATAAAGAAAGAGAAAAAAAGGAACTAAACGTGCACAAAAAGAAGGAACCAGAAAGATCATCTGAAGAAATAAACACAAGAAAAGGAGGGAAATAGTCAAATAGTGAAGTAAAAACTGACAGAAAAGACGCACTTCTCTGAAACACAGGCAGGTGTCCCTGGTAACAGAGAGCCCATATTTCCTTACTCCAGTGCCAGCTGCAGGGTAAGCTCTGGGCAAGGAGGACATAGACATTGCCAATTGCTAGACAGTTTTCAGAGAAGCACATCTCAACATTGAAGTGCTTCAAAGATTGAACAGCATAAAATCATTCTCCAAGAAGACCTGGGCCTCAAACAACTACTGAAGGAAATCCTAGACCCCAAACTGACCTTGTCTTCCTGGGGCGAGTGGTCTCTGAAGGCAATGCTTTGCAACATTTTCATGAAAATATGATGGTCTTAGAATAGAATCTGGGCCTGTTGAAGGCCTTCTTCCTTTCCTCCAGGGGATGGAGAACTTTAGTGTAAATGTTATTATTTTCAAGAATACTTTTAGCTGGATGCAGTGGTGTAAGCCTGTAATTATAATCCCAGCTACTCAGGGGGCTGAGGCAGGAGGATCACAAGTTTGAGGCCAGCCTCGGAATTTATTGAGATCCTATTTAAAAGTAAAATAAAAATAAGGCTGGGGATGTATATCAGTGATAGAATGCTTGCCTAGTATGGATGAGGCCCAGCCAGATACTGGGGCTTAAATCCAGGGGGCACTTTACCACTAAGCTACATTCTTAGTCTCCCCTCCCCCCTTTTTTTCTTTTCTTGAGACAGGGTCTCACTAAGTTGTGCAGGCTGACCTCCAACTTGTGATGTTCTTGCTTTAGCCTCTTGAGTCACTGGAATTACAGGTGTATGAAACCATTTCTGGCTTGTTTTGTTATTTTAATGTGCTCCAAGAGAATCTGCGGCAAACCTCTAGATGGGCACCAACTGTCATAGCAATTCTAGACCTGATATTTTAGAAATCAGGAGTTTATTACAATGTTCCCTTGAAAAGACATTCTACCTGTCATCCCATTTGGCACTCAGGATGGTGCGGTGAGGGAGGCAGGATCACCAAGTATAAACGAAGTTCTCTCATGACCTCCATAGCAAAGACATCATCTATCAGGAGAACCAACATTGGAGAACTCCTTGTTGACGTTCTGAGCACTTGGCACTTCTACTCATTCAAAACGGACAATCAACAATTTTTGGAAAGTGAGAGGAAGCCAGAGATATAGAATTATTTGCCCGAGATTGCACAGCCAGAGCATGACCGAACTGGCATCTGAAATCAGGTGCTGTGAGTCAAAGTTTATCCCTGTTCTCTGGCTTCCAGAAATTCTGTTGCCTGCATCTAAAGTTCACTACTTCATGCTTCCACCTGAGGCTTATTCTCTCTGGGAGGGCAGGTTCAGCCTCAGTCTCCTTAGTAATGGTCAAGGTGGTGAGGCTTGTGCTCAGTTCTAATAGAGTCCCTTTTCCACCAAAGTAGAATGAGGGAGGAGCCAATGGATGCTGAGTGTTTATTGGTAGAGTGGGATAGTTGGCTTAGTCAGTGTTGGGTGAGCAAAGGGTTTATTGTCCCCCACCTACCCAGCAGAGGCCAGTGCCTGCTCCCATGGTCACTGTTTTCACAGTCATTGAGAGGTCACCCTATCTCCAAATGCAATAGCACTTGGAACTGCATGGGTTCTTGTTGTTCCCATTAACTCTGATTTTCTCAGGCTCTCTCTGGTTTTCCAAAATACCTCGCTGAAGGTGGACAGGGCAGGGAGGTGGGGAGAGCCAGTGGAGCAGTGAATGAAGCTTGGTTTGCATCCATCCTGAGATACATCTCCAGGTGTCCCCTGATTCCCTGGCTCAGAGACACCTACCTCCTCCCAGAACTCCTTCAGCCTCCTCCCAGGGGTGAGCTCTGCTGTCTTCATGCTTTCATGATGCCTGGATCTGGCTAAGGCAGGTTTTCTGTTCTCCTTCCAGGGTACTTTGATGTTGATCAAATGACAGTAACATCCTTGCCCTAGAATGAGCTTGTCCTGTGCACTATCATCCTAACCCCAGCTGACCATTGGAGTATCCAGCATTTGGCCCAGCTAAAAGACAGCCCCAGTGTTCAAGACCAACTCCTGCCTGGATGACCCCTGGGTGAACAGTTGTTCTCATCACTTGGGTCATGTGGCAGGCAGTGAAATAACTTTTCTCCAAGTCCTCGACTATTTTCCTGATGTCTGATCATGAAACAGCGTGGTGGCTAATGAAATAACTAACTTCAACTAGCTGCCTGGCTGACAGACACCCTATCTGGTCCCAGGAGGCCTGGACAATGTTGGTTGGCCCCTTCCTCATGCTTAGGGCCTTGAGGACCATTAACAGTCCTCAGGAGTGGGTCTGTGCAAACAGTCTTGACTTGAGATCCATGCTTGGAATCACATTCAAACTTGTGTAGGGAGATGATGTATTCAGAATTATGGGATGATGTGCATTTTCTAAGATAACCAGTTTGTTCAGCTCTCAAGAGGTCCATAAACCCTGAGGGTGAGAATCACCTGAGGAGAGCCATCCTCCTCTTTAAGGCCAAAGATAAGCCTCCCTTGGATCCCATTCTTCTCCCATTCCCAGAAGCTAACGGGGCAGAGACTGGGGATTCTCAAAAACTGGGCTGGGATAAGGTGTTAGAGTCTGTAAACAAGTCAGGTGGTGCCTGGCATTTTGCCAGAGAATGTTAGAGTTCATAAACAAGTCTGGATGGTGCCTGGCAAAATGCCAGAGGGAGTGGTTTGAGAAGTAACAAAAGTGAGCCATTAAGTGTGGAGATTCCTTATTGGTTGACTGATGTATCTAGTTTATGCTAATTAGATAAGCTGTGTGGAATGTATAAATACTGCTCCTGTCCTGCAATAAACGGCTCCCATTCCTGCTGTATCAATCTACACAAGTTGTTTGTCACCCCCCGGTTATTCTGCTGCAGTCGGACTGCGGCAATAAGGTCCTGGGAAGCAGTTCAAGACCCATGGCTTCTGTGTCTCATTTAGGGTCCTGCATGAATGACCTAATGACCCCCACAATAGCTTCAAGGATATGTGAAGGGCACTGCTATGCACAAAGGTGGAGTGACTTCCAAGGAGGATAAGTGTTGGTCTTTGCTGCAGGCTGGGGATAGCTCAAGGTAGCATGTTCTGAAGCCAGTAATTTATCTGTGATTAAAGCATGTGACCAGTTGACTAGTGGGGCTTGTCCTCATTTTTCTTTGGGACTTACTCAGGTTCCCTTGGTGGCAGTATCTTGTTCCTGGGCAAGTGGACTGAACCATGAGGTGACTTTTTAGGTGACAAACACCACAATGGATCAGGTCTCTAAAACCAAATTATGTACTACCTTAACAATTCTGGGGACATTGGTGGGAGCTGCTCTGTGTATCTGGCCTTTCACTGAGCCGGAACTGGATGGCAGCAGACCAGGGTGCAGATGTTGCCTACCTGGAGGCGGTCTTGCCTGTTATAGCTCTATTTGACGCTTTTCTTTTGCCTTAGACCTAATGGTTTGGAGGTTGCTAGTTTCATTGCCTGGCATCTAGGTTTTCTTGGGAAGTGATACCCAAAGTGTAACCCAAAGGCCACAACACTGTGACTATTTGACTGTCTTAAAGTGGTATACATGCTCTTCAACTTAGGATAGATTTATACCTGGATAAACCCATTGTAAGTTGAAAATAATGTAAATAAAATGCATTTAATAACCTAACCTACTGAACATCATAGTTCAGCCTTGTCTGCCTTCAATGTGATCAGAACTCTGATGTTAACCTACTGCTGGCCACATTCACCTTAGTATAAAGCCTATTTTTATAATAAAATGTTGAATATCTCATTATAAAATACTCTACCAAAAGCAAAGAAAAGAATGTTGTATAGCCATACTTCTGTACTAAAAGTAAAAAAATAAATCACTGTTACTGAGGAAAAAACCTAAGTAAACCCTCTAGCTTCACTTGCTCTTTTTTATACCAAATTTTTTATTGGTGCATTATAGTTGTACATAATGATGTGATTTGTTGTTATATATTGGTATATTCTCACATTATAGCAATATAATTTTACCAATATCAGTTGATCCTCTTGGTTGATTTAAAAATGATGAAACTTGGGCTGAGGATATAGCTCAGTTAGTAGAGTGATTGCCTTGCATGCACAAAGCCCTGGGTTCAGTCCCCAGCACCACACACAAACACACACACACACACACACACACACACACGATGAAACTTGCTGGGCATGGTGGAACATACCTGTAATCCCAGAGACTCAGGAGGTGGACGCAAGAGAATTGTAAGTTAGAGGCCAGCCTCATTAAATTAATGAGGCCTTTAGCAATTCAGTGAGATCCTGTTCAAAAAAAAAAAAAAAAGCTGGGGGGTAGCTCAATGGTAAAGTGCCCCTGGGTTCAATCCTCAGAATAAATAAACAAATCCAGGAAGGAAAAATAAAAAATAAAAAGAGACAAAAAAGAGAGATCAGAATGCAGAATGTGACTACTGTTATTCTTGATGTTTCTCATTCTTCAAATTGCAGATAAGATTTGTTCCTTGGGATTAATCTGGAGTCATCTGCTCTGGCCTGAAGAGCAACTACATACTGATGATAATCTTTCTCTGCGTTCCATTGTTGACTGTTTTATCTTCAGGGTGCTAACTGATGCTATACAGGTGTGCCCAGTAAATGATCCAACAGATGATCAGCCTGAGAAGGGAACAGGAAAACCTCAGGGAGGCAGAAACCACGCCTCCTTCCAGGACAAGCGACCTTGCGGACTTCTGCTTTGAATCAGCCCAGGCACGAGCACATGTGATCTTCAGACCACAAGGGGGCGCCAAGGCAACGTCCACAGCTCAGGGTCCACGCAGGTGGACGTTGCCTTTGGGTTTCCTTCATCAGCACAGTCTTCAGTCTTCCTATCTTCCCTGACAGCATTAGTGTTCATTCCAGAGACTTCTGGAAAGATGCATCAACTGTTTAGTAAAAAGTAGGAAACAAGTTTATACCCTAGACTCTGAAGTCCTAACCAGCCCCTACCCTGAAAGATCCACCCCAAACCAGACTTACAGTCTTAAGTATCTCAGCTGTGCCCTTTGGTTCATAATCTCAGTTTCATTTGTGAGAAAGGAAGGAGCCGGGTGCAGTGTCACAAACCTGAAATCCCAGTGACTTCAGGGGCTGAGGCAGGATACTAAGTTTGCGACCAGCCTCAGCAACTTAGCAAGGCTCCAAGCAACTCAGTGAGCGCCTATCTCAAAAAAAAAAAAAAAAAAAAAAAAAAAGACTGAGGTTGTAGCTCAGTGTAAAGTGCCCCTTGTTTTAACCCAGTAACCCCTCCCCCCACCCCCAAGAAAAAAAGCAGAACAAAGGTAGAGAACAAAACCTAAAACAAACAGAAGGAGACAGTGAGATGGAAGGAAGGAAAATAGAAAAGAACTAAAAAATAAAAATAAACATATAGCTGGGTGCATTGGTGCACACCCATTATTGCAGCGGCTCAGGAGTCTGACACAGGAAAAGCACAAGTTCAAAGCCAGCCTCAGCAACTTAGTGAGGCCCTAAGCAACTTAGCAAGACCCTGTCTCAAAAAGTTAAAAGAGCTGGGGATGTAACTTAGTGGTTAAGCACCCCTGGGTTCAATCCCTGGTACCAAAATTAAATAAATTTTTTTAAAAAGATAAAATTGTATCTTATTTAATTAATTTTTGGTTCTGGGGATTGAACCTAAGTCTGAGCTACATTCCTAACCCTGTTTATTATTTATTTATTTTGGGGGGTATGGGGGATGGAACTCAGGGACACTTTTTATTTAGAGAGAGGGTTTCACTGAGTTGCTTAGTGCCTCGCTTTTGCTGAGGCTATCTTTGGACTCATGAGCCTCTTGTCTCAGCCTCCTTAGTCACTGGGATTACAGGCGTGTACCACAGCCTTTGTGATAGAGTCTCACTAAGTTTCTGAGGCTGGTCTTGAAATTGCCATTCCTCTGCCTCTGCTACTGAGTAGCTGGGATTATAGGTATGCTCCATCATATCTGCCAACCACACTGCTTTCAATGTGACAGCCATGTTCCCTCCCCAAAGTACCTTTCTAGCCCCCATTTCAGCTGGAGATAACCCTGAGACTACTATCCATCCATTGATATGTACCCAAATGACTGTTTATGGTTTATTTTCCTTAATAGGGAGTGTGTGGGCCCTTCTTCCCTTCCTCTTCTTTGCAGTCCAGAACATGGTTGTGATAGGTGGAGCAAAGCAGCAATTCTGGGCCATCCTGCTCCCTAGGATGCTGAACAGAAAGTTATAAACCTGAAATTTCTGAGGATAAACAAACTCTTATTCATGTTCACACTGTATCTACTCAGGGTTTGTTTAGGACAACTGTTACTCCTCCCAAAAGGGAGGTGTTGGAATTGCCTTGTGGACATCCAGGTCCATGTGGCAAACATCTGAGAAGAACCTTCTAGAAGGCCACAAAATAAAGCATGTCACATAACTAAGCTTTGCATTGGGGAATTTTAGGTGACTACCATTTTTTCTTCTTTCTGTTTTTTTTTTTTTTTACTAGTTATTATATTTTGGTGGTACTGGGAATTGAACTCAGGGGTCCTTTAGCATTGAGGCATGTCATTAGTGCTCTTTTTATTTTTTATTTTTAGATAAGGTCTCTCTTACTTGCTGAGGCTGGGCTCAAACTTGCCATCCTCCTCCCTTAGCCTCCTGAGTGGCTGAGATTACAGGTTGCCACTGCTTCTGGTGGTTTTTACTAATTATTATGGCTTAAATATGACATCTCACCCATGTCCCATGCAGGCAATGGAATTTGGGTTTCCTCTGCATGAAGCGGCTTGGCTGCAAAATAAAGCTAAGAAAAGAAGGTGGTGAAAAAAACACTAAGCAGAAAGTAATTTTAGAAAGCGAGGGCTGGACGGCTCTTCGACCTCAGAGGTCGACTTCCACAATGGAAAGAGAAAGCTAAAGCCCGGTTTGCTTTATTTATATTTTATTGAATATATATTTATATGGAACTTCAAAGGCTTTCTACAGAATGTTCTTCACCAAATAAAGTAGGAGGTGGGCTTTCCGGTTCCCAAGGGTCACGCCCAACTGGGGAGTTATGGATGGATCAGTCTTCCTAGGTGAGCCAGGATAGAGGTCATGTGCATTGTGCAATCCATTAAGTGGGAGGAACCACAAAATAGCTTGCAATGCCAAACCAAAATCTCCTTGGCTCAAGGCCAAGTGAAGACTTCTCAAATGGCTCAGGGGTGGCTCCCCACAATGACATGTTCCAGAAAAGCTCCCATGTCAATACAGGACTATTCGGAGGTAAAAGATTAGATTTTATAAGAGCTATAACTTAATCAGTCCAACCGAGCTTGAATAGACTGGGTGGTAACTGTGGACAGATGGGAGATGGCTGGAGAGGGTCATGGTCACCGGGGGCAGGCCTTAGAAGTGGTGGCCCTTACCTGCTCTTGTTCTTCCTGGTCACCATGATTAGAGCAGCTTACCTCAGCCATCCTCTTCTGCCACAATGTTCTACCTCATCTTGGGACCAGAGCAATGGAGTCAGTCAATCATGGACTAAATCTCTGAAACTGTGAGCTCCAAATAAACGTTTCTTCCGCTAAGTTGTTCTTGTCAGGTATTTTGGTCACAGTGACAAAATGCTGACTAACAGACATTTTCTACAATCAACAAGTGTTACATAACAAATACTAAGAGGAATTTAAAAAAAGGAAATAGCAAAGAGCACCAACAGATAATTCACAGAACCAGCAACACACATTGACTGCTATGAAAACAGTGTTCAATATCTTGGATTATTAAATGAAAACCAAAATACTGATATTCCTTTTTTCAGTTCTCATAGGAACGCATGTACCTTACATAACATCCAGGGTAAGACAAGACACTATGAGCCATCCTCCTCCCTTAGCCTCCATGTGGCAAACGTCTTATAAATGTACATGAAACTTTTAAGTGAGACACAGGATGTATGGAGTGGGAGATGTGGCAGGAGTTTGAGAGTTTGCTAAGGTTATTTTTGTGGTGGGAAAGAGATACTATTCAGTTTAAGAAAGAAATATAAGTAAATAAATATGAGTTTTAAAGGATAACCACTATAAAAATAAACAGAGTATATTGCTTTTAAGGGACCAGGAAAACAAAAACAACAACCCAAAAAAAAAAACAACCCAATAAAATCCAAATCTTGATGTAGCCATGGACACACGAGAAACAGACAATACTTCTTAGTCAACTACAAGGGAGTTTCCTTTCTTTGTTAAAGGTTATGTTCTAAAACCTATAATATCTACATTTAAAACTTGAGGGACCTTGAAGCTGGGTGTGGTGGTGCACACTCCCAGTAACCTGGGAAGCTGAAGGCAGGGGAAACACAAGTTTGAGGCTAGACTCAGTAGCTTAGTCAGACCCTATCTCAAAAAAAAAAAAAAAAAGGACTGGGGATATAGCTCAACGGAAAAGCACCCCTAGATTCAGTTCCTAGTAACCCCCTTGACAAAAACAAAACAAATATTTAGGGATTTTGATAGTTGATTGACCAATAGAAGATTGGTAGGTAGATGATAGATACCCATAAATGAGAGGAAAGAATCGGAAGGGGTGGGTAGTACCAACATGACTTGCAGGCAATGTGACCAACTATTTAGAATACCTACCAAATAAAACTCTTGTTTCTTGCCTTTTGTGCAGGAGCTACCTCATGTTCCTTTTAATCTGGTGTCTTGTCCCTGTGGATATGCCAGGGTTGGCTTTAAGGAAGGAGGTCAGAAATGCTCAGAACCATGACTTCTCCCATGAAAAAAAGAAAAGTGTTGATTTCCACCACTGGCATCCTATGGGGATCCTTGGATCAGCGTCAGAGGCATCAGAAAGGATTATCCCGGCTCTAAAAGCCAGCTTTTCTATTTGATTCAGTACAAAAATAGTATATGTGTGTATCATATACCCACACTCACAGACAGACCCACAGACACCTTGACCAAGGAAGTGCACTCTGGAATGAGGAAAAGTTCATTCGCGACATCTTTTACTGGGCCACCAGCTGCCTCTTAGGTTTTACTTTTCAGATTTTTCTCTTTTGTATTGCTGGTTGAAACCCTGGGCTTTGCCACTGAGTTATGCACCCTCTCCCTGCTTAGGTTTTTTTTTTTTTTTTTGTACTGGGGATTGAACCCAGGGGCACTTAACTACTGAGCAACATCCCCAGCCCTTTTTAATATTTTATTTAGAGACAGGGTCTCACTGAGTTGTTTAGGGCCTCACTATGTTGCTGAGGCTGGCTTTGAACCCATAATTCTTCTGCCTTGGCCTCCCAAGCCGCTGAGATTACAGGCACACCCCCCCCCCCCCCTAGATTTTACATTAGGAATATTAGTAATTTATAATAAGTAATTTCACAAGGGAACAAATCCCAAACCCTATAATGGCCAAAGAAAACTCTCTGATTTACCTTTTCTGGGGTCAATTCCAGGATTTGTTTTGTCGTGAAGGGAAATTCAAGGACCAACACATGATCCCAGTGATTGTTTTCAGGAACTGAGCCCAGAGCAAGGAAGGCATTTATAATGAAAACCCTGTTTCCATTTTTGGGAACAGATTTCCTTTGATTGCCACTTCTTGCCTTTCCGGATGAATCAGAAAATAATTTGATGGGACGAGTTAAGCACTTAGCCTGTGCCTGATGCATGCTGAGATTTCAGTCTTCATGAACTCAGATGGCATAAGCCACAAGCTCACATGGCTGGTCCCTTCCAGGGCTCAAGGTTGGGAAACTACCAGATCTGAGTATGTCATCCAGTTACATGGGAGCACACAGACAAGTGGAAGATACTCTGGCTATCAGTATACAGAGGTAAGAAATAAGCCGTATGTTAACAGGCTAATTTATAATCTAAGCACTATCATTTTGTTTTGTTTTTTTGTTTTTAGGCATACTGAGGCTTGAACACGGCACTCAACCACTGAGCCACATCCCCATTCCTATTTTGTATTTTATTTAGAGACAGGGTCTCAGTGAGTTGCTTAGCACTTCGATTTTGCTGAGACTGGCTTTGAACTCGTGATCTTCCTGTCTCAGCCTCCCAAACTCTGGGATTACAGGTGTGTGCCACCACACTCGGCTAAGCACTACCATTTGGATAAAATAAAACAATCTTTATTATTAAAAAAAGCTACATTGTGAGATTAAAATGTACAATTGCTAAAGAATTCTTCAGTAAGTGACATGTTTCATATAAAAAGGAACAAAAGATTGGAGTAGAACTTGAGAATGTCATATTTTCTAACTCAAAATATTAGTTCTCAATTTAAAAAGTAATAGGAAGAATAAGGGGTAGGTAGAAAGTGAGTTTTCATGTCAGATCTATGCAAAATGATACTTAATTCAAATCACCTGGAATTTTTTTTGTAGGGCTGGGTTTTGAACTCTTAGACAAGCTCTATCATGGATCTCCACCCCCAGCACCTGAAGAGATTTTAGATCACAATGCTCGGGGTCATATCCAGAAATACCAGTGCAGGTGTAGACTGGGTAATACATACTTTTAATAGAAGTATCTCAGGGTCTTTGCATTTAAAGATAGTGACACAAGATGGACATTTCCTTTTTCCTGTAGTGGGGGCCTAGTTGGGGGAAGTAGGTCACTGGGACTGTCCTTGGAAGGCATATCTTTGACCTTTTCCTCTCCCTCTTTGCTTCTGGGCTGTCATGAGGTGAGCTACTTTCCCCTCCACATTGCTCTGCCTTACCACAGGCTCAGAAACAATAGAACCACGTGACCATGGACTGAAATCTCTCTAATGGTGTTTTTTTTCCCCTCTTTTTTCAGTTGTTTTTATCAGGTATTTTTCTCACAGCAGTGGAAAGCTGACTAACACAGAATGGGAATACAAATGTGGTGAAGGATGTGTTCTAAAATTAGATTGTGGTGATGGTTGCACAGCTCTATAAATCAACTTTAAAAAACCATTGAATTTACACCCCAAATGGGTGAATTTTGGGGGGAAGGGAGGTACAGGTACCGCCTCTCAGGAACAGGTCAAGTTCAGATGAAATGTCCCAGCAGGGGAGGTGACTGTGCTGTGGAAGGCTATGTTGGTGGCAGGCTGGGTCTGCACTGAATTCTGCTGCCCATTTGTTGGACATTGCAGAAGCCTCAGCCTCTTCATTTTCATAGGCTGGGATGAGGATACTGTCAGACAGGTTCCAGAAGAGATGCAGCATCCTGCCTGGAAGGTCCCCATTTACCCCTCAGTCCAGGAGGAGCCTCCCAGCCAATCTTGGTGTTTTCCAGGGCTGTATAGCTCCCATGTAGATTTAATTTTTTTTCTAGTGAAAGCAAAAAGAAGCAGGTATAATTCATTCCAATGTTTTACTTAACCTAATATATCCCAAATATCATCAACGGACATGTAATCAGTATGACTCTGTGTGTGTGTGTGTGTGTGTGTGTGTGTGTGTGTGTAGCACTGGAACCTAACTCATGGCCTTTCACATGCTAGGCAAGTGCTCTGCCACTGAGCTGCACCCCAACCCCTTTGATATAACTGTTATTAATGAGATGTTTTATATCCCTTTTTCTTATAAACTATTCAAAACCCAGTGTCTACTTTGCACTTATATCATACTTCATTTGGGGCCAGCTGTGTTTCAAATGCCTATCAGCTGCCTGCCTGCAGTGGCCAACATGAACTTGAGTTACAAAGGGCCTGAAGGGGGTTCACCAAACCTGGGGTGCCTTTGTGTGTGACTTCCCTTTTTCTTACCTGTGGTAGAAGCAAAGGAAATTCAAGGCCAAATAGAGTCTGGCCCCAATCCCAACCCTGGCTGGCACCTAGGGTCATTGGGATTCTCCTCCAAGGCCTAAGAATCTACTCTCATAGAGGTGGACCCAGGTCATGTGAATTCTTACACTTCCCTGTGCTTTGAACTCCTGTTGTCTTTATCAGGGTGTCATCAAGAGCTTCGGAGTGAGGACCAGGGGAGCCCCAGACCCAGGAAGTTGGCTGTTCTGGAGAGTGCTGATGGAGGCCCTGGGCCACGGTGTCAGGAACAGCAGCAGAACTGATGACCAGCTCATGCCTGGCACAGATTAAAGCACACCTTCTCATCTTTCTTCTTCTTTTAAAATAAAAATACTGTATTTACTTAGAAGCATTCAGAATGTCAGCAAAACTATGTCTTTTTTTTTTTTTTTTTTGCAATTACAGAGTGATGTTCAGTTAATAATTATTTCATATAAGGTGCATCAGATAAAACCAAAGATGAAGCGACTACCTTCTTCTGCTCATTGTTCTTTGCAAGTCCTCTTCCCTGCCAAAGTGTCCTGATTTGGCTTAGGTTCTCACCAGGTTTGTATTGCCCACATATCAGGAACCAGGTTCCATTCTAAAGGCTGGAACCCAAGTCCTCCCCTCCCATGTCATCATACCTCCAAGATGAGAAGATGAGCTGCATCTATCCCACCAAGAAATGCCTTGACTCTGAACTTCACCCTGCTCCAGAGCCTACCTGAGAGCAGCTGGCAGAAGCCTTCTTGTTCTGACCTGGGAGATGGGGCTGTGTCCCTACTCTAAGCAGGTGGACTCATGTGGATTTGTCTTCCTCAAGGTAGCTTTCTTCACATAGAGAGCAAAATGAGGCAGGCACTCGGCACTGTCTGGGCATTCATACCTCCAGGGGGCTGTTGAGCTGTGTCCACCCTCAGGGGTGCCTAGCAGGAACAGGGCCAGGACCCAGGGGGAGGTAGCTCCTCTGTAAGAGCAGCAGGCATGGCTCCCTCACACAGGAAGAAGTCTGGAGGTAGAGGGTTTCAGAGAGGAATAATTCTTAGTATTGGCAGAGGTCTATCTTCTTGTCTATCTTCTCTGCGGTTATCTTGACTTTTCCCAAGTGCCATTGCTTTAAATATCAACTCTTCATATGACTTTACCAAAACAAGAAAGAAAAGAAATTACTCCACGGTGCCTTTTTTTCCCCCCACCTCTGGTACTGGGGATTGAACCCAATGGCACTCTACCACTAAGCTTTATCTCCAGCTCCATTTTTTATATATATATTTTTTATTTTGAGACAGGGTCTTGTTAAGTTGCCCATGCCTGAACTTGTGATCCTCCTACCTTAGCCTCCTGAGCAGCTGACATATCAGGTGGTTCCACCTTGCCTGACCACTTGTCCTCTCTTGACTGAAAGGACTTTCTTTCAGGAAAAACTTCAGGGATTTCCTTTCAGTTACCACCCATGACTGGCAGTGTTGATCCCCAACACAGGGGATGGTTTGAGGTCAGGGAGAGGGTTGATTGAGTTCTTTACTCTCATGCATTGATAACCCTTTGGAGTCCCAGACCTTTCTCTGGCAAGTAAGAAGGAAGAGATATTGCTTTCTAGGTACACCTAGACTCTGTTACATCTGGAGTTAAAAGTGTTTAATATGCACATAAAGGGATATCTAAGAAAACCCATTCCAAATCCTGATACTGCACAAATGTAGACAACTCTGGATAATGACATGCAAAAAATAATGTTCAAAGAAGAACATCACACTGGAGAGAATCAGGGCAAATTCTTTTATTGAACACCTACTATGTGCCAGGTACTGTTCTAAGTGGTGGGAAGATAACAGTGAGCTAAAAAGAAATCCTGTCTCAATGACCTTTTTATTCTAGGGCATGTGGGGGACAGGACAAATAAAAAGGTAAACGTACATACACACATTTTTTTGAAAAAAGACTAGAAGACAAATGAAGGGAGAAGTGGGAGAGGGGTGCTAGGTCCTTGTTCAATAGGGGGACCAGAGATGGCCTCCCTGGGAGATGACACCTGTGTCTAAAGCAACTGTGGGGACTAGTCTTGGGGGCACTTGGGGAAAAAGTATTCCAGATAGGGAGGACACAAGAGTCCTTGGGTGGGACATTTGAGGAACAGCAGGGAGGCCATATGGAAGGCACAAAGAGCCATGGACAATCAGGGGGTGAAGTCAAAGAGAGATGGGGCCAGAGGGCCATTTTGTGGGCATGGTGTACATTCCTAGTGAGGCAGGTTCCTGCTCACCTTCCAACAGGGTCACTCCAGTATTTTTTTTTTTTTTTTGTGGGGGGTGGTTCCAAGGATTGAACTCAGGGGCACTTGACCACTAAGCCACATCCCAGCCCTATTTTGTAATTTTATTTAGAGACAGGATCTCACTGAGTTGCTTAGTGCCTCGCTTTTGCGGAGGCTGTCTTGGAACTTGCAATCCTCCTGCCTAAGCCTCCCAAGTGCTAGGATTTTAGGTGTGTGCCACTGTGCCTGGCACCCAGTACTTTTGATGCACAGATGGCAGGGTGGCAGAAGGCACCCTGCTGACCTCTTGAGGAAGGTCAGGGAGAGGGGTCGATTGAGTTTGACCTTTGAAAGATGGGGGAAGCTTAGATCAGAGTGGTAGTTGTGAAGGTGTATGATATACAGCACTTGTATCCAAGCCATATCTGCACAGTAAAGCCAGAGGGAGTTGTTTGAAAGAATTGGGGCTATCAAGGTCAGTCCCATGATTTTTAGTCAGAGGAACCAGAATGATGGAGTGGCTTTGAAGGAAGCAACTGTAGGAGGAACAGATTTGGGGAGAGAAGATCAGAAACTGGGAACATGAGAATGTGAAGTTACAAATGTGTCTCAGACCTGGGCATGGTGGCGCACTCCTGTAATTCCAGCAATTCAGGAGGCTGAGGCAGGAAGATCACAAGTTGGAGGCCAGCCTCAGTAATTTAGGGAGACCTAAGCAACTTTGTGAGACTGTGTCTCAAAATAAAAAATAAAAAGGCTTGGGGATGTAGCCCAGAGGTTAAGACCTCTGGGTTCAATCCCCATTACCAAAAAGAAAGAAAGAAAGAAACAACCCACGAATGTCTCTCAGAATTCAAGGACAGGGATCATGACTTGATGGAGGCTGAAATTCTGGCTCCAACCAGCAATGACCAGGCAGGCTGGACATGTGTTTTGGAAAAATCTGGTTTTTGAGAACTGGCTGCTGAACGCAGAAAGTTATGAGATGGAAAAATGAGGTGGACAAATCCAGGACGGCACAAAGTGCAACTTATGGGGACTTGTAGACAGAAATATTAGATGGCAGGAAGACAGGAGAATCCCTGCATTCAAGGTAGGAGAAAGGGGTTTATATGTTTAGCTAGACAAGGGTGGGCCACGGCCAGCCAGAATGTTCCTGGGCTTTCCAAAGATCTATTAATATGTCAAGTGTCAGATAAGAGAAAATCTAGGCATTCAGTGGCCAGCACAAAATGCTGGGTTAACTACCTTAACAACTTGGTAGTTTTTTCCTATAGGGTTTGAAATGTGTGTCAGTGTCACTGGGGCAGGCAAAATGGCAGTTATGACCAAGGCTACAGTCATGTCAAGCCTACACCATTTGAGCTTGAACTGAAAACATGCACACAGTGTTTGTAATACTGAGAGAGTCAGGATTAGAGAATAGGTGGGCGCATCTAGAGAGAGAGAGCCTAGGGCTTAAGTCATTGGCACAGCAATACATCAAAGTTGGGGTATAAGGTAGAACAAGAAAAGGGAGCTGAGGAGGAGCAGCAGGAGAAGAGAAACAGGGGTGTTATGGAGATAGGCAAAGGAGGTAATAGGAAGGTGTAAGTCCATGCAAAAACCCACGAGAGGTTATATAAGTGGGATTAGTTGTTAGGTTTGAGGGTCTTTGAAACCTTACACCACCAGTTTTGGTGGATGAAATTAATTGTAACAGGTTCAAGAGTGACAGGGTGAGAGTGAGCATAGACTGTGAATGTAGATAATTTTTTTTTAGAATATTTTTCTGAAAATGAGAAAAAAAAAAGACATAAGAAAAATAGAGTCAAGAGGATTTTTTTAAGTGAAAGATATCTTACTTGCCAAGGTGTCTTACTCTGTTCAGTCTGCTCTAGCAAAATACTGTAGATTGACTAATTTATACACAATTAAAAATATTTTTATTAGTTGTTCATGGGTCTTTATTTTATTTACTTATTTATATGTGGTGCTGAGGATTGAACCCAGTGCCTTGCACATGCTAGACAAGTGCTCTACCACTGAGCCACAGCCCCAGCCCCACACAATACAATTTTTTTCTCTCGAGTTCTGGAGACTGGAAAGTGCAAGATCAAGGTGCCAGGAGATTTGGAATCTGGTGAAGCCTCTCTCTCTGCTTTAAAGATAGGGCATTCTTGTGTTTTCCCATTATGAAGGAGCAAAATATCCCCCTCAGGCCAGGTGTGGTGGCACAAACCTGTAATCTCAGCTACTTGTGAGGTTGAGGTAGGAGGATCACATGAGTTGGAGTCCAGCCTGGGCAACTTATTGAGACCCTCTCTCAAAATAAAATTATTTTTTAAAAAGGGATGGGGTTGTATCTTAGTGGCAAAGCGCTTGCCTAGCACATGCAGGACCTAGGTTCAATCCCCAGTTCCACAAAAGAAAACAAAAAATCCCCTTCAGACCCCCTTTACTTGGGCATTGTGTTACTCAGTTTTGTGTCACTGTGACAAAATACTTGGGAGAAATCAACTTAAAGGAGGAAATATTTATTTTGGCTCACAGCTTCAGTCTATGTTTACTTGAACCAGTTGCTTTTAGGCCTGTGGTGAGGCAGAAGCACTTGATGAGGGAAAGCTACTCAGCTCATGACAACCAGGAAGCAAAGAAAGAGCTTGATTTTATAACAAAGCCCTCCCCACCAACAGATTAAACTGTTAATCCACCAATGGTCAAAGCCCTCATGATTCAATCACGTCCAAAGGCCCACCTCTGAACACTGCTGCATTGGGGACCAAGTCTTTAACACATGAACTTTTTGGGGACATTTAAGATCCAAACCATAATAGCCATTGTTGAAGGGACAGACGAGGCAAGGCACCGAAGATAGCAGGAAACAATTTTATTTGGCTGCAGCCAGGTTCAGAGGGCACAGCTTTTGCTGTAATCAATTAATCCCCCGAACCCCGAGTTCAGATAGTTTCAGAATTTTATACCCAACATGTAAGGGAAGGGGCTCAGAAGTTCACATAAAAGCAGCTTTTTCTTTCACTGTTCTGGGCAAGTTAACTCTTCAAGGACAACACCTGAGAAGGGGAAAGCTTCTTCTCCCCCTTCCTTCCTCCCTTGCCAGCTGTTACC